AGACAATTACAGGCCGATCTCGAATCTACCTTTTCTGTCAAAGATACTAGAAAAGACAGTATCCTCACAACTATGTTCCTTTTTTAGAAAGAAATGGTATCTGCGAGGATTTCCAGTTAGGATTTAGACCGTACAATAGTACTGAGACAGCTCTCATTAGAGTCACAAATGATTTACTCTTATCCGATCGTGGTTGTATCTCTCTATTAGTGTTACTCGATCTTAGTGCTGCATTTGATATTATTGACCACAACATTCTTATAAATAGACCTGAAAATGATGTTGGCATTAGTGGAATTGCATTAGCATGGTTTAAATCATACTTATCTGACTGTTATCAGTTTGTAGCAGTAAATGAAGAGATGTCTTATCGATCACAAGTTCATTATGGAGTACCACAAGGCTCAGTACTAAGACCGTTGCTGTTCACACTGTACATGATGCTACCCTTGGGAGTTATCATTAGGAGGCATGGCATTAGTTTTCACTGTTATGCCGATAATACTCAGCTCTATATCTCTTCGCGCCCCAACGAAACTTGCCAATTCAAGAAATTATCGGAATGCATAGCTGATGTAAAAATTACTATTTCCTACTACTTAATTCTGAAAAAAAAAAAACCCAGAGTTTTCAAGGTATTTAGGTGGAGAAGACTTGGAGGAAAGAGATGTTGACTCAACTTGAGTTGGACCTAAGACCACTCCATTGTTGGTAGCTGTTTTATTATTTATTTATTTTGTTTTTCTGTTTAAGTACTCCTCTCCATGCAGTGCATATCAGGCGGAAGGGGAAGGTGGGAGGATGGGAGTTCTAGTAGTTTTGTTTTAAAAGTTTCAGTATGCTGGAATATAAGCATATGTTTGTGTGTAGATTGCATGTACATGTATAGGCATGTTAATGAATATGTGTATGCGTACAATTGTATGTATAGGCTACATATGAATATATTATATATCTATATATATATATATATATATATATATATATATATATAATTAATAACTGCAGAAGGAACTATACTATCCTGTTAGATTTTTTGTATATATAAGGAAAAGACGGAGGATCTTTGGATATATTTTCTGTGAAGCTTTTTGTACTCTTTATATTTCTCCAAAAAACAAAAACAAAAAAAAAACAGAGTTTCTAATGATTGGACCAAAAACCTCCACATGTACTAACCTAGAAAACTGTCTAAAGGTGATGATACACAGGGCAACTTTTTGAGCAATGTTGCTGGGCAATGTAGCCGTCAACAGGCATCCAGATGAGACACAGGGCCCACGACCGATCTAAATTTTCAATGGGAAAGTGCCAAAGCAACAATCGCTCGGCAAGATTGCCCAGCAACATTGCTCAAAAGGTTACCCTGTGGATCATCACCTTAACACTTGATGGCTGCTCTGTCAAATCTTCGTTGTCGGTTAGGAACCTGGGTGTGCTCTTTGATACCACTTTCATTTGAAAGTCATGTTTCTAGTATCTGTAAAACCGCATTCTTCCATCTTAAAAAATATATCTAAATTACGTCATTTGCAGTTTAGCAGTCCGCCGTATCCAGATCTGATGAAGGACCTGCGCCTGGACACAGTCAACTAGTCTCTCCCCTGTGAAGACCTCCTTCGCATCTGTACAGATAAAACGTTGTCAAAATAGTTCCAGAAATAATTCTGTATTATACATTTTTAATGCCAGGCAAGTAATTTATTGAGGTAAAGTTGTAAAGAAAGACTACACACCTGCACACATATTTATTCAAACACGCATACCTATAGACTGAACACGTAATACGCATGTGTACATCGTCAGCTTTTCACAGGTTTGTGTTTTTAAAGCTTGCGCAGAGATTAAAATTATTATTAAAATTAATTTGTCATCGGCACTGTTTTGTGCGGTGCCGGGCCGGAGCGCGTTAAGGGTTTTCTGTTGGAACAGTGTCGTGTAAGTGGCCCCTAAGTTAATAACTAATGATCTTTGCAACAGAAGTGAATCAATCAAAACTAACTTTAGCTGGACAATAACTTTATTCTAGAGCTGCTGTAAAGCCAAAACAATCTCTGTTACTTTAATTTCATATCACTGTAAAGCTGCTTTGAAACAATCTAAGTTGTTAAAAGCGCTATATAAATGAAGGAGACTTGACTTGACTTAGTTTTGTAAATAAAGTAAATTTGCTGCTCTGGATCCAAGCATCTGCTCTCTCTGTTACAGTTGTATCAACATGAAATAAAAACATTTGAACTTGCAATTCATTTAAAAATAGATCTCGATCTTCTGGTGAAACAAGTTTGCTTAAACTCAGCCCCTTTCTTACAGTTGATTGCAAACTCATTCAGATTTTCCTCAATCCAATGAACAAACAATGGATTATTTTTCGTATGTCACAATCACAAGAAAAGATCTGTTACTACTTCCTTTATATTGTGACTTCATAACTCTGTCTCCTCTCCACCAATAAGCTGGTGTGTGGTGGGCGTTCTGGCGCACAATGCCGTCATTGGTGGCAGGTGCCAGGTGGATGCTGCACATTGGTGGTGGTTGAAGAGATTCCCCTTCTATGTAAAGCGCTTTGAGTGCCGAGAAAAGTGCCGAGAAAAATAATAATAATATATATATATATATATATATATATATATATATATATATATAAATAAAATACATACATACAGAGCTTGACATTAACTTTTTTTGCTCAGCATTTTCACCGGCCACAATTTTTACATTCATACCATTGGGAAAAACTGCCATTTATTTTTTATATTATATCATAATTAGGCTGCTGTCACTTTAAGACCTGACGCACAGCTGTATATGGCCAATATACTTGTCTTTATGTGCACACACTTTGGGTGTGAATGAGTAAAATTATGCTCAATATGTGCAATCCCATGTAGAAATTCAAGCCCTGTAACACCAACAATATTCATCCGGAGCAAATGAAACAATGAGTAAAGGGCCATGGGTTTGTGTGTCAAGAGCGAGAACGCGTAGCTGGTTTTGTGTATCCTACGGAAGATTTTCAGATATTTCAGTATCAATATATACCGAAAAATCTATATTTTCGACAACACTAGATTGCACTTTTCAGATGCCTTTTTAAAAGACTACAATTGAAAAATGTATATTAAATAAAAGTCAATCAGCCAAAGTGGTTAGTAGGAGTGACAAATATATATATATATATATATATATATATATATATATATATATATATATATTTATTTATTTATTTATACATACTATATATGTCCGTGTGTATATACACATATACACACATATATACTGTATACACACACACTCACAGACATACACAGAATATATATATATATATATATATATATTATGTAAACAAAAACTTCTGTTAGATGTGATTAATCGCGTTTAATCGATTTGATACCATATATATATACACACACACAGTATATAGCACAAGTTGGAAAAGCTGAAAAAGGAAATTATAGAATTCCAATTTGGAGCATCCGATTCTCTATGATCAGTTCATTACTAGAGGGAAGGATGTTGTTTCTGCTTGATCATGCATTCCTTTGCAGGAATTTAAACACCTCAAAGAATCCACCCACTTGGGCTAAATGTGGTTTGTCTTTTGCTGTGAACGCATCCGAATATGACACAATGAACTTCTGCCTACTGAGCATTAACAATCTACCCACCCCAGCTTTATGAAAAGGTTGCTCTGTCAAAGAATATGATGTAACTTCCGATACTACAGAATAATGGATGAATGTTGTGTCTGGACAAAGGATGTAATTCTAAACGTTCTGTGACATAGAGGTGCATGATTTCAACAAAAGATTAGAATATCCTGTAGTGAGTAATATTTTTCCCTACTTTTTTTTGGGAAGGGCACTGAGGTGTGTTCTCCATCCATGGATTTTCCACCTGTTGCATCGGAGAACATGAGATTAAACATCATCATCATCATCACCATGACATCAACCAGTCGATTACAACTCACTTTAATCGCAATTACTCATTATTATACACTTTCTCCATGCCCCATAAATGAGTCATGGCTGACTATGTATAAGATGACTGATTCACTTAAAATCAGTCACTTTTTTGCAGCGCTGCATCCACGCCGCCAGCATCACACAATATAAAAGAAAAATGACATAGTGCAACTATTTCAAATTAGTGTGAATACAAATGATGGGAATGCACAGTGTGCACTTAATCTATAACTGCATTCTAAGTACACTAGACCACAGAATTCTAGGCTACTCTCACCACTTCCTGAAGAGGTACAGGATATGACCCCACACAGTTAACAGTCCTTATTCTTATCAACATGTCTCTCTCTGCCTTGCCTTGTCTTGGGCAAATCAAGAAAGGAAGAAATAAGAATGAGTGGGAGATGGAGAAAATGAAAGAGAGAGAGGAATGCATGTATGTGCAATAAGGCATGAAGACACTTGTGCATGCTGGATGTCTGAGTAGAAATTACAGTGAGATGTGTCAGAGGAGGCCAAGCCGACGAATGTGGGGGGAAATGGTCAGTGGGGAGACATGGAGAGGGGGGCTTCAGATCTTCTAGATCAGTGTGTGAGTGTATTGTGACTTGTGTCATGAACTGCACCTAATTAATCTAAAAAAGCCTCGGCGGCATTTTACAATGTTTAACTGTAATCTGATACAAGTCTCAGTATATACTATATCAAAGACAAACTGGTGACTATCAGATTTGGGGATGAATATGAAGAAAACATGCATGTCACTTATAGAGTGAGTATAGTATACTCACAGTGTAGAGTCTTCTACATAGTGGAGATGCTTAACGCACGGTTGTTTGCGCTAAATCCAAATTCAGAAATCCCAAATTAGGAACATCAGGGTCTGGAGACATCAAGCTGTCGGAAATAGCAAAAACAATTGAGTTCTTCAGAAAAAAGATATGTCTAGTAAGAGGGGGTGTGTAGGTCTGGACTTTTTTTTTCTTTTTTTTTTGTGAATGAGTCACAGTGTGTGTGTGTCATGGCCCATACTATAAAGGAGAACACTTTCACTGGTTCCAATGTAGAGTGATAAAGACAAGTTTGTACACAGTGTTTACTACTTGGGTCTTTTGGGATTATCATGAAACGTAAGTTCTTTCTTCATTTTTTCTCCCCCCACTTTACAACACAGCCATGGGAATGAGTTTAAGTGAAGGCAAAAATATGTAAACTGTAGAGGGTGGGTCTAAATGGCTGATTTTGCTGTCTATGTATTTTGTTTTGAAAAGTCTATTCAGAATGAACCAAAATAATCCCTGGTCAAGGCTCATTAAACTCAAGGTATATTCAAGGTACAATAGGTAGATGTTAGAGATGGGTATTGTGTCATTTATATTATTTTAAATATGTAAAACAAATTGTGTTTAACTCTTAAGGAAATGCTTTAATTATGATTAATTATTGAGAAAGTTTTTTTTTAAATAATCTGCTTATATTTTTATCATAATAGTTATGGGGATTTAACAACCATAACACTTAATATTCAGATTAGTAGTCAACCAATAAGTTTTATCAGTGTTTACTGTAAATTATTAGTTAAAATACTTTGGTTCCCCAAATCCTGAATATGTGGTTGAATTCCTCATAAAAGGTCACATTGAGGTCAAAGGTCAAGGTTGTTTTCTCCTAATCAAATCAGACTGACCATTTGTAACTTTGAAGGTATTTAACCCACTGATTCATATCTGGTCTGTCCTGTAATTATATTAATTCAATATAGTTACAATAAAATATAGTTATAATATAATTATAATGTTATATAATAATATAAATATAATGAGATTCATAATATTCATAATATAATAATATTTAAGGCAGTGTTATTTTTGACTAAAACTAAATTATTTTCAGTAATTGAAATACAGCTAAAATTAAATATAAATTTTAGATTGAAAACGTAAATGAAAATAAGAAAAGATGCCTTGGAGACTAACTGAAATAAGTTTAACTTGAAGTACTAAAACTTTTTTTAAAAATCAGATATTCAAATTTGAATAAATGTAAATATAACACTGTTTCAAGGCTGTAGCGGGATCAGAGTCTGTAAACATTCTTACAATTGCTTTTGCATGATAACGTCCAATTTGAAAACATGCGTGCGTATCGACTCGGATCAGTAACAAGCTCATAACTGAACATTTGAGCTATATTAGGGCAATGCTATCTCAAAATTGTGTTGACAGAAGCGAAAAGATGCTATCAGTGTGAAGCAAAAAAATTCCAACACTAATGCAGACAGAGGATGTCTGCGAGTGAGTCAACAGCTGTTGTGCCAATTGAGTCAGTGTGATCTTTCACTTCACAACGGTTTTGATGGAGATCGCCACTATCAAATCTGAAGGGGTTGCACGCAGCGGTTATCACTGACCTTAACAATTTCCCCATTTAGAAAGTTTTCAAAGGATGCTAATTGCGTAAATAGCCATTAATTTCCTTCCAATGCTTATCAAAGGGTTAAATCACACAGTTATCACATATCTGCTGAAAGTATACGACCTTCAGACAGACTTCGGCTATGGCTCATTGGAGTTTGCTGTGGCTAAAGACTGGCGGAAACATCAAACGGGCCGGGAATTAGCCAATTATTAGCGGTTAAAAGAAAGAACCGCATTAGGTCTAATATATATTTTTCCCTTTAAAAGTCAAGAAATGCATAAAATGCTGCTAAAACCACTCAAAAAAATGAACTAGGAAGGTTGTGCTCTTTACATAATATATTTATATTTAGTTTACTTATAATAATTGTGTTTTTTGACTTGAAATTTTTTTTCTAGTAAGGTCCACGTAATTATGTCTCAACTTAACAGTACAAAATCCTAATGCGTTGCCTAAACACAAACCATTTATGTTAAGTGAAAAATTCTTACATCCAGAGGGTGGCAGTATAGTGCGAGCCAACTGCCATTTTGCCCGAACTTAATTTGATTGTGTTCAATCTGCTTAAATATATGTAACATTTAAGTTTACTTAATCCACTTGTGTTGGATTACATGATTGATTTGTGTTGCATTAACTACAACTGGGCGGTGCTTGTTAGTGCCCAGCATGCTTTGCATATGGTTGAATTAAGAGAGAATAAATGTTAAAATTAAGTGTTATTTTATGATTTTTTGAGAAAATGACAAAAGGGGAAGACTTGATAGTGTGTAATTGTGTTTAATCTTCAATTACATTTGAATTATTAGCACCATTTAAATTACAGTGGGTTACCATTGTGGAGAAGAGTGGAGCATTTTGTTTGGCTGTGGACTGATTTAATTATTTCAACTGTTTGGTTGACTGAGCATGTTAATCTTAGCATTTAAGATGCTAATATGTGCTACTGCTAGCAAATAGCTAGCTATAGTCTAACAATTTTATTATGTGTTACTAAAATAAATGAAATATTAATGAATGAATGAATGAATATAAAAAATACCCGAATCATGTCATGAAGCCTTTAAAAAATCACTTTGAGACTACTTTAATAGGGTTGCTTAAAATGACTTAATTCCATGATGTTGAAGTTACATGAACAAATTATGTTGAATTTAAATGAACAAATTATGTTGAAGTTACATAACAAATTATGTTTGTTTAACATAACCTAGTTATGTGGAACCTGTTGACGAAATAAAATTAATTAAAGCCAACATATCATTTTTTTGAGTGTATATGTGTATATATTTCTCTCTTTATTCTGATTCAATAGTTTTACCAGTTTGAAATTTCCAAATAGTACATCTCTTCATTTTGTACACTCCGAGAAACCGATTCCAACGCACCCAGCCACAGTTACAAATGTGTGTCCAACAGGCCTTGGGAATTCCTGTGGGGAGAAATCTTCATGTGCTCCAAATTTTTGTGCCATCCGGTGTAACCATTACAAACCAAGAGGAAGAGCTCTCCGTGCAAATCTCTCTGCTTAGATACAAGATTTTAGGGAGTAAAACAGCTGTTCAGGACACACATTGAAACACTTGTGACTCAGAGCAGCTGTTCCAATGACATAAATATGAAATTCTGTTTGTTTTTATGCCGACAGTGTCAACTGACTTCACCTTTCCCCTCATCGTCTTGATGGCTTTTGTTGAGCTCTTCGACTTCGTCACAGCCCGTCCCGCTGTGCCACAAGGAAAAAATGATCTGCGAATGCTTTACCAAGACATGCGTAAGCTACTCAACATAGTATCTCAAGAAAAGCAAGAGGTAAGTGTCAGTTTGCTGATACATGTGAATGATTTTCTAATTCATTTTAAATGAATAAAATCAGACTAAAATGCACGCACGTTGTGGGTCATTTAGCTTGTCTGATTAAATGCTTGACATTTTTCAGAATAAGCTGAACGACTTTGAACAATCGCTCACATCCCTGCCCTCTCTGGACTTCAGAACAGAAGACCTGAAATCACTCGAGGTAGTACATCAACATCTCTGCCTCTGTCGTATTCTGTCTTCTCAAGAAGACTTTCTTTTCGACTGTATGAATAACATCTGCAATTAAGACCAAACTGTTCATTGAAAACCCCAAGATTACGTTTATCTTCTCCCAACCAAAAGGCCTGACTGAAAATTAAATCCAAAGAAATTCAGACAAGTGCCATTTTAAAGCACGGTTTGCCAAGAAAGAATGACGGATAGACAGAATGATAGATAGACAGATTATTATTAGTTTAGAATATATCTAGTTTCAAAAATAAGATGTGTGTAACATCTGTCTCCTTTTGGCCCACAGGTGAGCAGTACCTTAGCACATCTGTACTCTGGTCTTAAATCCTTCAAGTTCCATCTTTACTGGATCCAGCACGAACAAGACGAATTGGGGATTGATTATTCTAAGACAAAGAATATCCATCTTATCCAACTCATCGACAGAGTGCTCACACATGTAAGAATCGTGCAGCTCACCTACAGTAGGAAATCAAACAATATTTAAATAACTTAAATTCTGTCAAAATAGATGCAAGATACATGCTAGAGTAAGATCACGCCAACTGATGTCATATATAGTATATACACACACTACCGTTCAAATGTTTGGGGTCAGTACGATTTCTTTTTTCTGAAAAACATTTTTCAGCAAACATACATTAAATTCATCAAAATGACTTTAAAGACAGTAGATTGCTACAAAAATTCTATTTCAAATAAATGCGGCAAAAAATAAAAATGCATCACTGTTTTCACAAAATTATTAAGCAGGACAACTTTTTTCAACATTGATAAAGAGAAATGTTTCAGCATGTTAGAATGATTTCTGAAGGATCATGTGACACTGAAGACTGAGTAATGATGCTGAAAATTCAGCTTTGCATTACAGGAATAAGTTATTTTAAAATATTGTAAGATGGTAATAATATTAAATCATGTTACTTTTTACATAATAATATGTAAAATGCACCAGATTTAGTCAAATTGGCAAATTTCCATCCGTAGTCCCTTGGCAGGTTGATGTCAAAGACAGAAGAAACCAACAAACTAAATTTAAACAGACATAAAAAGACCTATATATATATATATATATATATATATCTCAACATGCTAATATGATGTAGGCTAAACAGTGCAACTTAAGGTAGTATTTGTTTAAATTTTTAAATTACAAAATGTACTTCAAGCAAGTAAGTTTGGGTAAATGCAATAAATATAGATTTTATATATACATGAAAACTTATCAAAAATATATATTTATTTTTACGTAAATATTTTGAAATCTATGAGCAATATATTAAATTTGGTTACACTTTATTTTGTTGGTCCTCTTTAAATATTCTGATGACTAGTAGCATTGCACCTACATGTCAACTAACTCTCAGAGTATTAGTAGGGTATTAGTAGACTGGTAGGGTTAGTAGAATAAGTTGACATGTACTTATAGTCAGTAGAATATCTGTTGGGAATCATCACAATAAAGAGTTAGCAGATATTAAGCAGACAGTCTATATATATATATATATATATATATATATATATATATATATATATATATATATATATATATATATATAGGTCAGTGTGATGATAGAGGCGAGGTGAGATCGAAATCTTGAAACAAATAGATTATTTCATAAATTACACTGGCTGACACAAAGCGAAAGTGAAAATAGGAGGTGGTTAAACATATCCTCCCTTCCTACAGATTGAGACGCCCATTTCTGAGCTCGTCCACCCTTCCCTGCCTCCACTGAAAACAGCCTGGAACTTGTACCAGGCCAATGTGGAGATCAACGACAAACTGTACTACTTTTGCAACTGGTACATTAGAGCACTGAGAGGCCTGAAACCGAAACAATAGCAATCATTTGACACCAGTAGCCCTCAGCTTATCTCCATGGTGCAAGTAAACGCAAGATGAGGTCAACAGGCATCGTGGTAGCATCGTCTGACTTGCCTTAATGTCTGAAGGGATGGAATGAACGTTCCAGCCTTTAGAAGTCATCTTCCATCAGTTAACGGTTCCTTTGTGTGGTGTTGTCGTTTTAATATTATTAATAAGTTATGTATTTAATATTATTAATAAGTTATGTATTTAATATTTATTGAATTTAGTTTTTTTGTTTACAATGAAGGATTTTTTTATACATGGAGTGAATGAGAAAAATAGCACTTTAAAAATATTAAGTGTCTTGTTTTAATAATGAAATTTGTATGCAAAATCAGCTGCAGGCAGTTGCTAATAATGACCAATAGGTGTCGCTATAAGGTGTGTAATAATGACTAATAGGTGTCGTTACTGTGGTACAACTGTGAAGTATTATTAAATGCAGTTTAGGACCTGCACTCCTTTAATTATTTCTGTTGAAAGTTAGTAATTTTGCAAAGATGTAGTGAATCAACATACTTGTTAAACAACATAACTATCTTTTAAGGTTACGGTTAGACTGTGTTTGACAGGAATGTTGACCAGAAGTTGATCCAGTAACACAGCCTACTTGGTAAAATCACCATATGATAAAACTGGGCATTAAATACAAAACAACTTCCATAGTTTTTTTTAGGGCTAATGGATGCTATTTTGAACATATTGAAAATACAGTACCTTGAAATGCACTCACTACCTGAAAGTTGTATTTATTCGCTGCGATTACATGTTTAGTCTAAATGAAATGTAACTTAAGTGCCAACCTATAGCAGAGATGCACTGAAAAGAGGAAAAAAAATCTTGAACAATGCCAAAGCCTTTTTCATTTCAACAGACTATTTGTAGAGAGGAGAACAAATACACAGTGTTGTTTACATGATAAAGAAATTGTGTTAATATCTGATAATCATTCAGAACTCGAATTCACATTTTGATTTGACTTTGCAAGCTGAGTCCGATGGATAAACTGGGAGAGTCCCGGATGTTATTTTTATTGTTCATACTTTTTTTATACATATCTATGTATTTATTTTTGTATTTATACATTTTATTTGATTATTTAATTGTCATTTTTCTTTCAATAAAATATTTTGCTTCAAACATGCAGTGCTTTTTTTTTAACTTGCTGAACTGCTTCAGCAACAACTAAACCTTTAACAAAACAATCTAACCATCGCATTATTTCCGATGTTCTGTATATAATTATTTATATTTTATATATTTGGATTTTCATGTTTGTTCCTAAAATAAAACTTGTGCGTCTTGTCTTAGGTTTATAAATAATTCCCCTGCCCTGTCTAGCTGAGCATTTTCACAGATAGTTGAGCTCAACATCCAGACAGATTAAAAATTGCCAGCAATAAGTGTAATCAACCATGAATGTCAAAATCTTTGTCATGATGACTAATACCAAACGGTGCAGAACAAGGAATAGGATATGGATAAAGGATATGTCACATGACTGTGTGTGAGTTTAAAACCCTGAAAAGTCAGGACTTGGCACGTCCGGCAGAAAGAGAGATCTGCGATGCAAGCGTTTTGCGTTGCGCTCTCTCACAGCTGTTGGATTTATTATGCTCCCTGAGAGAGAAATTGATCATGCTTGCCAGCATCATAACCATTTTTGGTTAATTAATCGCACTAAATTAAACATTACATTGCCAGCCCTACATGAGACGCAAAATGAGCTTGCTAAATGTGAGAGCGCTGCCTAACGACCTCAGAGAAAACACTAAAAGGTTAGGGGTTTTGCCAGTAATGACAAATTACCTGTTATACGAACCCAAAAGAACACACTGTCAGTGAATAACTCTGTAACATCCAAAAGGAGGGGTAACGGCAGCAAGAGCACATGTGAAAGAACTAGGGTAGAGATAGAGAGGGGTGGGAGAAGGAGAGTACAGATAGACTATTGAACTGTAAGCAGAGGACATGAAGGATCCATTATCAACCAGAATAAGTACTCTGCAGAGGCAAAAGAGACAGTAACCTCTAAGTTGATTTATGACTGGTTGACCTGCTGTTGCTCATTTGACCTGCAGCTTTCAGTGACCTGAGTTTATGGACAGGCTGATCAATAGAGAACAGCACCTCGAAATTCCCTTTCGGTCTTCAACAACAGCAAACATGACAGTAAGTCTTTTCAATCCTTTTGAAGTGTACATTCAACTGTTGCATAAGCTTATGATTATGTAGGCAATGATTATTGCCCAAGCACATATTTTTTAAAGATTTTCAAACAGCTTGTGATGTACAGTAATTTAAAATAAGAAATTGGTTTATGGAATTTTAGCCATGCTCCATAATTTACATAGCGTACAGTACAAACTACCATTCAAAAGTATAGGGTCAGTAAGAGAAAGAAGTCTCTTGTGCTCACCATGTCTCCGTAAACCGAAATATTATGAAACATTTTTACAATTTAAAGCGTTTTGTATTTTATTAATTAGTACTGTCAAATCGATTAATCGCATCTAACATAATAGTTTATATAATATATATGTGTATATTATATTTATATATATTATATATGTGTACACACACATGCATATACATGTGTATACACACAAACACACACACATATATATATATATACATATATATATATATATACACACACATGTATATAAACACAAACTATTATGTTAGTTGCGATTAATCGGGTTGAATCGATTTAACAGCACTAATTTTAATATGTAATTTAGTCCTGTGATGTTCTTCCTTAAGAGTAAAAAAAAAAGATTGTGATTTTATATTCTGCAATGTGAGCAATAATGTCACAACTAAGACAGTCACACTTACAGAAACAGTTGCAATTATGAGACATCAAAGCACATTTGTGAAATTTAAAGTAGCAATGACCTTTTTACTTTTCTTGTTTTAGGTAGAATGGGGTTGCAGTCATATTTATCTACAGACGTGTTTATTTATTATAAAATTCAGTCTTGAATTGTACACTGATTACTGGCTACATATCACAACATACCAAAACGGTACATACTGTAATTTAACAATTTACAACATTCACAACTAATCCTAAAGAACTTTGATGTGCTACCCATTCTGCTGTTCTTGACGAGGGGTTAACCAAAGATGACTTTTGGTGAGCTGTCTGTCCTCACACAACTCATGCCCAACAGGTGCACCTTTTACCTCTTATGCAACACTGCCCCCCTTCTTCATTATCCCGAACCACTGCTTTACTAAAGAGTGTAAAATATCTGCTTTTGGGACACCAAAGCATTCACAGACTAAAAACATCATCCAGTTCAAATGTCTTAAATTCAAATTATGTATGACATTTGATCGGTTACCAATACTATTGCTGAACAGAACACTTAATCCTATGAAACTCAGCTGATACCACGAGTGTTTAAGGACAGTTAAGATGTGTTGACAGAATAAACAATCCTCAGAACTGAACCTCAAATCACCCTTTCGCTGTAGTGATCTTATAATAGCATGCAAGGACAGACCCCGGGAGTATATCTCTGATCCAGCTAGATCATATTTACTTTCAACATGGCATTTTGTGGTATTTGGTCCCCTTGTAGACAGCTAGTGAAACATTGTTTGACATGCTACAAAATGGTAGAGAGAAAAAAACGTATGGGAACGATGCCGTGGCCATTAAATAAGACTTTTAGCAAGCTAATAATGACACTCTTATGGAAAATTAGTCATGCAAATTCCCTCTCAAATTACATTAGATGTTACATTTTTGTCATGTCCATCTGCAACCGTGACCATCTAGTTTTGCTTCTTGCAGACTGCCACAAGACTTTTGGATGAGCTGTGTCACTTAACGGTTCAGTCTCTAGAATCACTGGAGCCCTCAGATCACTTCCAAGTTATTAAACTTCTTGGAGAGGGTTCATACGGCAAAGTTATGTTAGCAGTGCACAAGAAGAAAGGTAAGTGATGACAACCCTATTATATGTTGTTTGTTTTTCTCTCATCTGATCTTACGAACACTACATCACATTTCTTGGTAGAGTGCTTGATTAGCTACTGTATGCTGCTTCCTTCCTTTACCTTTGACAAGATCTCAATTTGCATGTAATCTAGGAACCCCAATGGCCCTTAAATTCTTTCTGCGAGAATCCACATCTCTCCTGTCATTTCTGAGGGAATATAACCTGTCTTTGGCCTTTTGCACCCACCCCTCACTTACCTCAGCCTTGGGCATTGCTTTCTCCACTCCTACTCACTACGTGTTCGCCCAGCAACCTTGCCTCTACGGCGACCTCTATGATGTCATCGTTCCTGAGGTTGGTAAAAGCTTGAAATCAGTTATATACGTCTTAACGATGATTGTATATGATTAATGAGAATTGCATGCAGGAATTAAACATCTATTTGCATGTCACAGCACAGCTGACTAGTCCAGTCGAGAACCACAAAAAGGTACATCTCTTGAGTTGTAATACACATAAAATGTTTAGATCAGGGTTGTACAATCCAGCCCATGGAAGGCCACCTTCCTGCAGTGTTTAACTCCAACACTAATCAAACTAACCTGAACAAGCTAGTCAAGGTCTTTAGAATTCTCAGAAACTTCCAGGCAGTTCCAAAGGATCTAGGAGGGCCAATGTCCTGCAGAGATTAGTTCTAACTGGCCCCAGATCACTTGTCTGGATGTTTCAAGTAATACTGAAGACCTTTATTAGCTGGTTCAGGTGTGTTCGATTATAATTGCATCCAAACTCTGCAGAATATTGGCCCTCCAGAAGCAGGATTATACACCTAAGGTTTGAATCGGTGGTTCCCAAGCCTGTAAATTTTGGATGTCTCCCTATCACACCCTATTCAACTCATCAGCACATCAGTAGAGACTCCAAGACATGAAATTTGTGTTAGATTAAGGAGCCATCCAAAACCACTGGTTTAGATGGAGTGAACAAAGAAAGAACATAAAAATGTATTGTAAATAACAGGCACAGTAGTTGTTCTACAATGGCTGGTTGCTGCATGCTCTAGCTGTTTATTTTACATTAAGCCTTTAAAGTATGATTAAGTCATGTCCAATCTCCTGGAGGGCCACTATCCTGCACAGTTGGCTCCAATCTTTATAAAGCACACATGAACAAGCTAATCAATGTTTTAGGGCAGGGGTAAGCAACTCTGGCCCTTGAGAACCACTTTCCTGTAAAGTTTAGCTCCAACCCAAATCAAACACACCTGAACACGCTAATCAAGGGCAGGATTAGAAGGGGAGGTGAGTTTGACCATGGTTGGAGATAAACTAGAGGACCAGAGTTGCCCAACCCTGCTTTAATGTTACTAGAAATTTCCAGGTAAGTTTGTTGGGGCAGTTTGGAGCAGGACATTGGCCCTCAAAGAAAGGTATTGGACACCCCTGGCTTAAGTGGTAACTTGATTTCTTGCAGGTTGGTCTGGAAGAGAGCCATGTCCAGGGAGTGGCTTCCCAGATCAGCGGTGCCCTCTCTCACCTTCATTCCCTTGGCTTTGTCCATCGTGATGTCAAACCGGAAAACATCTTCCTATGTGACAGTGTCTGCCGTTGGGTCAAGCTCGGTGATTTTGGCATGGTTAAGGCTGCAGGGACCAGGGTACCATGCGTGTGGTACAGTTCTCCTTACTGCACTCCTGAGGCTGAGATTGCAAGGAAGGGGGAGGAGATTAATTTGGGCAACTCAGAGGTGGATGACAATGGGAACAAGCCAAAAGGGGACTCTGGAAAGACTCAAAGGATGTTGGTATATGTGGATCCCAGTACAGACAGCTGGGCATTAGGCATTCTAATCTACGCCATGCTTATGGGGAGCCTTCCGTGGTCTGAGACTGTTTCAGACAACACAGCATATAAAAGCTATCTACAGTGGAGCAATTGGGAAGGTTCAGCATTACAAGAGAGAGAGTCAAATCAAACTGAGGACTTCCACCATGTGGCAACCCAGTTTGCAGCATTCACCCCTCTTGCGACATGTCTTCTTAAGTCCCTACTCTATCCACAGCCCAGGCTTCGTGGCAGGCCAGATGAGGTGGGAAGGTACCTGGGAGGAGCCTGGCTATCGGACAAGGATGTCAGTTGATGATGCAAAGGATGGACAGGACTGAGGTTGTTGTCATCTGGGGGGGGGATGTACGTGGGACTGGGACTTGATATTGTCCATCGGGAATTGATTGGACCGATAGCTCATTGTCGTTTGCTATTTGCTGTGGCCTCATGTAAATGACAGGATGCTGTAGAGCAGGGATTATAAGTTAATGTTTTTGACAAGAGCTTTTAAAAATGTGCACGGATAAATCATTTATAAGAAACAATGCAATATTCCATTAAAAACCTTTAATCGTCAACTTCAATTTCATGGTGACTTTAAAGGATGATAGAGGAGTATTATGATGTATACATAAATAATATATGAGAATGATTTCCAAACTGGAGGATCTTGATGTCCTAGACTGGGATTCATGATGGAATTGATGGGAACGCATTTTAAATGTCCAATTAATTCAAATAAAGCAATTAAAACGTAATGGTTTGCTTTGATCAACAATAAAAAAAAATCTGGAAATGTATTATTACCAACATTTTAAACTGTATTTGTAACTCTTCTTATATAGTTTGCTTAAAATCATAAAGATTGGAATGTTCACTCCAGTCTTAAAAGCATATTTATGCTTTTAACAAACTATGCTCATTATGTCATCTTCATCTATGTTGTGAGAGTAAGAAGGAGCATACCGTATCTCTCAAATTTCAGCAGATAACATTCAGACACATACAAGCACTCAGACACTACGTGTCCTAGATTTAAAAATAAACCTCCGACCATTAATAAAACTCGTTTAGCCATCATCACCTCTGTCAGACACACACACACTTGAAACCACATACACATGCATGCACAAACACACAGAATCTTCCAGATCTTTATCCCGAAGTGTCTCACACTTCTGCGTTTAAACCTGCCCCTCCATTCATCCACGCCATACACACACAACAGGGTGATGTTACATGTAACAGATAAGTCTTTGGCAATGGCTTGAGTTCAAACTCTTTCAACTGATCCATGAAAACATAACATTGTACATTACAGAGTAAATATGACCTCCATATATTTGCAAAATACATGGAATTAAAAACATCTTGCAGAAATTCTGGTAGATTTATTTACAACCGGACCATCAAATAATAATAATAATAATAATAATATACAGCTGTAAACAAATGAAGACCACCTGACTGTTCACATTAAAAATAAATAAATAAATGCAGCTGCAAATATTTGCACCATATACTAAATGAATACAATCTAGGCCACTAAATTAAGACATCAAAAATGTACAGATTGTGCCCTTTCAATCTGAAGTTATTTAGTCACCTTGTTAAGAGATTAACAGCTGAAATAGCTCATTACATGAAGGGAAGAAGACCACGAAGATCATTTAACAGCTCTAGTACTAACTATTCCAGTCGCTGTCTATATGACCTTTCATTTGATATACTACATTCAAACACATTTATGTGTGCAATTACGCTAGTGTCATCTTGCATGCTAATTTGCATGTAAAAGTGCATGAGAAAAATAGTCGTTTACAATACTTTATGCATGTATAGCATGAGGATGCCAGGAATACCAGTATTTTATTAGTACATTTTCTTTGCTCAGAAAATTTCAGCCATGTACCATTTTGCGAACTTCAACCACACTCTTTCTACACCCCGTGTTGTGGAATATCCTACCCTTCTTCTGATACTTATCGGCCTTGAACGCCCAAACATTAAAATTAGATGAGACAACACATTTAATGGGTAGACTTAAAAGGAATATAATGTATTTATGTATATTAATTGCATATAATGTATTTGTAATCCAAATCAATGGAAATTTTTCCATGCAATTAATATACACAAAGTTTTAAACTAATAAACAATGTGGTGCATATTAAAGGTGACCTATAATTCAAAATTGAATTTACCTTGGTATAGTCAAATAACAAGAGTTCATTGCATGGACATGACATAGAGTGAATCTCAAACTGGACTGTTTTCGCGTTCTCATTTAATTCACGTTTATGAAAAACACCCCTGAAAAACGGTCGGTTCTCCACACAATACCGACTGTGACGCAATAGTCGGGATCATTAATATGTACGCCTCCAAATATTTGCATAATGCCAGCCCTCAATGCCAGGCGGAACTGCGCAGCCGAAGCATGGCAGTTGCTCAGTGTGGATGTACACATGAACACAAAAGTATTTTTTAGTTCCTTCATCTGAGCCTCTGAAGAAACAATGGGTTAATTTTATTTTCTCTGGAAATTTCCAAACATTTCACCGACTGTTTCCTCAACTTGGGCCAATACAGAGCTGGCCTCGGATCGAGCTACCAAGCAACACTTTCTGATGTGTAATTAATTGTTCAAGTTCAGACAGGTAATCTTTCTCTCAAAATCGTTCAATACTGTTCACATCGTTTCTTTAAGTAGGATGAAAATAATCGTATTTAAATTGTGAACAAATTATATGCAGAAAGCGATCAAAGAACAATCTTTCCACACAGCGCGAGTTTATCTGGACACTTGCCAAACTCGTTATGAAATCAATGACGCACGTTACTGCACAACGAAGCTCTTACTGTATTTACATCATCGTGTTTGCATTGGTGAAAGCAGAGAGAGTGCAGAAACTGCTTTGCAATGATAAGATCTTCATTCTCGCGATCAACACACGGTCATCTGCTCAATGCTCATCACGGCAACATTTTATGTGATGGGAATAGATCTAAATACTTTAAAAACATCTCATGATTCGTTAATCTCGATAGCTGTTATAGTAAAAACGTATAATAGCAGTAGTAAAAGTATTCGGGAGAGAGTTTCACATGTAATGCGTAGCTATTTCATATGCAAGCATGTCAGCCAATCACAGCAGTGGCCGCGGTTACACTGAATCCCACAGCAGACACGCCCCTTCAAACAGAGTGTTCAAATCAGAGGCTAAAAGCAGGCTAGGAAAAATGCCATTTATTTCTAAATTATGATTATTTTTTATCTAAAAAACATACTAACATTATAAGGGTAACCCAGGAAACATTATAAAATAAAATAAAAACATTCTAGGGCACCTTTAAAAGAAACAAGAAGGAATAAGATTTATAGGCCTACTAATAAACCAAATGTGTTTTAAATACACAATAACCAGGTTTATATATTGATAAATTCAATTGGTTTTATTCAAACCCATCTCTTATATTTTAACTAATTAAATATTGATACTTACATTCATTTTCACAATTAACAGATTTGTGAACAATTCAAAAATGTAATTATTTAAATAAAAATCAAACTGATTTTAAAACTTAAACTATACACAGAAAAGGAAGGCAGGGAAAACAATGCTTATATACAGTACACAACAAGACTAACTAGACACAGATAAAATAATGAGGGGAAACAAACTACAAGAGGACTACAAAGCTATGGAAGCAGGAGAAATACAACATAAAAGGCCAAGCAAACAGGGAACATGTAACACTATGCCATGATTAATATGAGTGTACTTAGAAATTAGATAATATGGAAAAATGTTGTGTGTATGTACGTAAAAATGTATGTTTTAGTCTTAATCATGAACATTCCATAATTTCCTTTTGAGGATTAATAAAGTAGTTTTGTCTCGTAAAATGTTAATCACATTCGCCCCGAAATGAGAAAAGGGGTGAATTTATACATAGCATACCTCTCTCACTATTTCTGCTATTTAAAGATATGGCATAACTAGTACTGTATGCAATTCCAAGTTCTTTAAATGAGCTAGAACAAGATACCTTGATGCACTATGTGTTTGATCAGATTTTGAGGAAGGGAAGATCTAGCGTGTACCAGGCCTCCAAAGACACACCAGCAAATCTGAATGTGCAAAATCATTCAAAGGTGAAGCTCTCTCTGTCCAATTTGATTGCACCTTTAATCATGAAGCACCTTTAATTCACATTAGCAGAACTGGCAGATCAAGTGTGTGTGTGTGTGTGTGTGTGTGTGTGTGTGAGAGAGAGAGAGAGAGATCATGTTCACAATCACAATTTAGATATTTTGATAGAGTGGTGCTGAATGTTCACACGTCACTCACACTTTCAGACTTCTAAATGAGGGCCGATTCAAGCTCGCATCAACGAGTGAACAGCTGATCCTCAAATATGCTCCCCATTTATCAGCCAAGAACATTTCCCCGCAACGTTTCAAAACAGACCTTAACACTGTATCCCAACCAGCCGCTACCACGATGAGAGACCGCTTGTTCATCGCTTGGTTTCTATATCTGTGCATTCACACTGAAGCCCTGACCATTTTGATCCAAAATCTATTACATATAGTATTAAAACATTAAAAGGTTACAGAAATAGTGTCCCTCCTTACCCTTTGACGCGTACGATCACACCGGTGTGATCAGTCTTGGCTGGTCCCTGGAGCGTACGATCACACCGGTGTGATTAGAACGGTCAGTGCATCACGTGATCAACTGCTAAATTCAAACGTGCTTTCGCGCGTTGGCTGGCGCTGAGCCAGAGACAGACGCACTCAGTGCTGTCATATATCACAACTATTGAGTATTTTAAACCACATAATGTTTATTTTAGGTTTCAGACATTTAAATACACATAAGTACTAGCAAAACAGTGATTTTGAATTAGTAAAATAGACACTGATGTCTATGGAAACGGCAACAATAATCATTTCCATTATAATAAGACAAAACGTTTTATTCATATCAGATACACGTTGTGTAAGTAGCTTTACATTTTACCCTATTCTTCGCCTAGTTCACCGGCCACTTACTTTCATGTATTTCGTGAGAAACAACAGGTCCGATTCTCTGAACTGTGAAACAAACTAACATGGCGCCGCCCATCGTGCATAGGCCTACAGCTCAACTAACGCGATCGTTATAAATATGTTTAAACAACAAAACACATGCACTTGCACATATTTGACAATCGGAATATCACTGTTTCATGCTGTAGCTAATACATTTGTGAATATTTTGAATAGAAAAGGAAAAAAGACATAAAAGCAGATCATCACTCATTCAGCTCTGTGTTGTGATTGCGCTGTGTCACGTGAC